AAAAAAAAAAGGCTTTGGTGCACTGTGGGCTAATATTTACCAGCTGCATACTACAGAACAACTTTCTCTGCAGGTCTATACGCCCTGAAATTTTATCAAAGCCACAGATAAGTTAAATGGAAGCAAATTCAATGTACGACATTCAGCACAAAATGAACGTGAAGTACCTGTGGAAAGAATGCTTTTTGTAATAGCATCTGCAAGACCAATGATATCTTGTTTTTTGGGCTTTGAGTGGAACACAGGGTAGTTTTCCCACATAGGGAAATATCCACCACTAGAAGAGAAGTAACCATCTGACATGTCTGGTCTTCTTGGATATTCCCAAGTATCTTCCAACATATCCTCGTTATCACTGAACCTGATGATTCATGAGATTTAAAAAGAAAAATTTTGAGAAACCTCCCCTAGGATTTGAGAATCTTCAAAAAGGCCCATTAACACTGAATATTACTAAAACCACTCATAAGGCTTGATTCAGTCTCCAGAAATCGAAAAATAAAAATTAAAAGGAAAAATAATAATTAAGAAGAAAAAGTAAACCCATTTAAAGTTTTGATTCCATCTTTACAGTTGGCCGCAACTCTTAGCTGGCGTGAATAATTTGTTGATTTCATAAACCATTTTACAATTAAGTGCCTTTCCACAATATTCCGAATAGTCCAAACTTCATCTGGGTGCTTGTTAATATGTGGTAACATTCAATGTAGGATATGTTCTTAAGGATTGAAAGGAGTACAACAATTATCATGAAATAATCAAGTTAGAGTTGTACTTGAGGAGTACCTCAAGTACAGCAATTATCACGAAATAATCAAGTTAGAGTTGTACGATATGTTCCCTATGCTAACTCGGTTCTTTAATTCTCGTCATCTACAACATTTGGGTTTTGGAGACCCAAGGCCGGCGAGCTAGGACAAGATTAGAGGCTGTCATGATGATGATACTTCCCGAAAATCAAAATGCTATGCAAATCCTCCTAGCATATCAATAGTTCTCGAAGATTTGATGATTGACATTCACTCTAAAATCAAGCTCGAGCCTCCAAGTTATGTAGATACACGAAATTCAATGGAGAAGAAGACTAAGAAGAAAAAGATGCGGAGATTCCACTCCAAGAAGTGAAGAGGAGTCATCCACACCTCTCACATATAATCCAAGAAGATCAACTACGTTCTATGAAGTTTAACCAAATAGCGTATTGATCCTGAAAAAAGCCTTTAAACCCTTAATTCAATGTTATTCAACTCAAATACATCTTCAAAAAAGATCGAATAACAAAGTCTGCAGAAAAGCTCTATCCGGTAAATCAAGCATTTAATTTGGAGATAAGTCATTTGACACTCAAATTAACATAAGTTAAATTCAAACTCAAACGGAGGTAGATCCAATCTGCGTTCACCTTCAAATGTCCAAATCCAAATCCAAAAAGATTTTCATATAAAGATTGCACTTGATTCTATAAAAACAAATTTTTTTGCATAAGTTTTATGTGTCCTTATAAAGTGTACTTTTACAGATAGCCATGCTTGGACCACTATGTAATTTTCAATGCTGGGTTTTCTTGGAATTTGGCCAAACCTCAAGGGTAGGTTTGTACTTATACCTAAAAGAATTGGTCCAATAAAAACAAACCTGGAAAACCAAAAATAAATAAAGGTTTATAACTCACCAGGTGCGAGGTGGCGGAGGATAAACATCAGGAACCAAAAGCATTGGGTAGAACAAACCCATAGGGGGAACCTGTGTGCCAATATGGAATCATCAAATACGTAATAGGATCTTTTCAGGGTTACAAAGTTAATCCCAACAAGATATCGTCACATAATATTGTGATTCAAGATAAATGCAATGTACTAGCATGATGCGAGGAAGAAAAGTTTATCATGTCTCTAACAAAAAAAGAGGAGAAACCAAAAACATAGGGGTGAAAGGGGTGAAAGGATAAAAAGTGTTGGAATATCACCTGTGAGTTGTCTCACATTGATTCTGCAAGGTAAATGAGCCTAGTTTTATATAGGGTAAATAGTGTTGGAATATCACCTGCGAGTTGTCTCAAATTGATTCCATAGGGTAAATGAGCCTAGTTGTCTCACATCTACTCCTCTCATCACCAATTGGTTTTGGTTTTAGGATGAAACATTAGTCGATGCACCTAAGTTCACCCTCTTATAGTGCGTTTAACCTCTATAAAACAACACCCACTTCCCCCAAATCTATGACTCTAACATGGTATCAGTGATCTATGACCTGCGATGATTCAATCTACTCTGCTTACTCTGCTTTGCTCATGAAGGACTCACAAGTGAGCGGGCACGTTAGAATATCACTTGTGAGTTGTTCATATTGATTCTATAGGGTATATAGGCCAAATTTGTAATCCTAGTTGGTTACTCCTCCCATCACCAATTGGTTTCAGGATGGAAACTCACTAATGTACACCTAGAGTCATCCTCTGCGTTTCACCTCTATAAGACCTGACCCTCTTCCCCCGAATCTATATATATTAAACAAAAAGGACATCAAATTGAAGATGATTCATAATGAGAACTATCGATTTATCATTTTCCAATGCATACATTAAGCGCAGTAAGCCTTGTCTTGTGTGACCCGGGTGGCACGTCATCTTCATAAGAATGAACTATAGAACCTGCTTCAACTTCACCTTCCTGAACAAAGAACACATGGTATACATTTTTTTTCAGCGAAGGAAAATTTAAAAATTCTATTTAAAAAAAAAAAAAAAAAAATGTAAGCCTTAAAATAATTCTTGGAGAAACAGCAACTGAATGTATTTGATATCTACTCAACACTACAAAATTGCAATTCCATATGCTGAAACAATGGTAGCATATATAAAAATTGTGTTGTGTAGAATGAGTCATGACTAGGTTTAGAATAAGATATCTTCAGTTACTAGTATTTTTCCAGAGAAATTCAAGACAACTAGAACAAAAATGATATAGAATGGCATGCCATGTTAGGCAATCTATAAATATCTTATAGAAGAAAACATGAAAATTTTATGAACTCACTCTAATCTGGCAGTGAGATTCTTTAAGTCTATTCAACATCAACAAATCCATTGGCTTTGTAAGAGCATCAGTACGGATAGGTGGCCATGTCTGATGATGTCTTTGTGTCCAAAGAAGACATCTCGATATATCCTGAAACAGTACTTACATTATTCATGGACAAAGCACACTGCACTATAATAAGAATAACCAGAACACGAAGCTGTAACAACTTGGTCATTTAAACATGGGCCAAAAAAATAAAATCTATATCTAAATCTATATCTATATACTAGTACGAATATTCATTAATATTTATAAATTACAAATGCTCATTAAATAATATTTATAAATAAGAATTATGGAATCAATATGTAATACGATTTACTTATATTATTTGTTAAAAATGTTATATGAAATTTAAATTGTGCAAAATTACATAAAATATGTCTATTTAAATTTAGTACACGACCCATATGGTGCAAGTAACTGATAATAAACTACATTATATTCATTTCAAAATAGATGTCATTTTAAAAATTTATTTAAAAATTCGATTTAACTACAATGTGATTTAAGTAAAAACAATCCTTTATATATACAACACACACATCAAATAATTTGATATGTTCCACGCACATTTACAAAGAAGAATCGACCATAATATTATCCAAATTTTCTTTCATTAATATCGAGTAAAATGCTTAGCAATATGAAAAAAAAAAAAATATTGAGATATCATTTATTACCATAAGCGGGTATATTGGATCAATATATAGTATACCAAAAAAATTGATTTCATATTTTATCGATAAAATTCAAAAAATGATATTCAACTCAACCACGAAATTAATTGCCCAGCGTACAAAACAAATCAAGACTCATGTTTATTATATATAAAAATAAAAAAATTCCTAAAACATAGTTATTAAAAATAATTAAACAGAAAATGTCATTAACACGATTATTTTAGAATTATTTTATAAGAAATTATAATTGAAAATTTCAATCTAATTTACACAATTTACGTAATATGGTATCTTAAAAATGTAATTTTTATTTCCTTAATTATCCTTGATTTGCGCAATTAGATCCACAAAAAATGAATAACATTTATTAAATAATATTTAAATAAAAATTGTCCTTAGCACAATTTTTTTTAGAACAGTTTTTTGCAAACTGCATTATTTGTTGTCGATATTTCCATAATAGTAGTAATTATTTACATATTGAATAAATTAGTCGAACTTACACAATTTGCGTAATTAAGGTATATTAAAAATGTATTTCACAAATGAATTACACGAACAATATAAAACACTTATTAAATAATAAATTATACAATTTAGTTGGAAATTTTTTACCAAATCACATAATTGATATTGCAGCCGAAATTCCCATATTTGGGTAAATCAACCAATTCACGTGATTTTTGAGTAATTAAGGTATCTTAAAAATTAATTTACCATAAGTGATTATTTAAAATATACCATATATTGTTAAATTAATATAAGTAAAGGTATATTAAAAATGAACTTAATTTAAGTAAAGGTCTATGAAAACTATACAAAATATGCGCGAGAACGTTGAAAAATATAAGTACAAAATAATTTCAAATATGTGTGAGAACATTGCAAAATATAAGTACAAAATAAATTTAAAAATCAATTGCAAAAATCTTATTGACATAAATACGCATATTTTTTTAATTGCAAAAATCTTATTGACATTGCATTTTACATTAATTAAGTAATACTCAAATTTTTTTAATTGTTCTATCCTACAATAGTTACAACTATTAAAACTAACTAATAATATTTCGTACTAAATGATATATGAAAGTTACACAAGCATAAAAAATTATATATCAAATTTTTTTCTTCAAGTTATTTATTGAATTTTTTTTTATTTTTATTTTTTTGCATTTCATTAAGCAATTGTTAAAAAAATAATTGATTTTGATGACATAGCCAAACCCCTTAAAATTGCATTAACAATTGCTATAATAATATATTTAATTGATGGCTATAATAATTAACTTTGATGACATAGCCAAAGCCCTTAAAATTGCATTAACAATTACATTAACAATTGCTATAATAATATATTCAACTAATTACTTAGTCATGATCGCTAAAAATTATAAACAATAAATTACTCATTCTATTTTATGCAATAAAATTAATAGTTAAAAACCAGCAACCTAGCTCTCACCTCTCCGCCGTACCGTAGATTAATCTGAGTGGTAGGTAGAGTCACTCCATCCTAGACATGAACAAAAGACAATCAGGATTGACCGAAATATCAGGTAATTATAATCGAGATGAGCATGCTTTTTTAGTTTCCATTTTGCGAAAATACACAAAAAGGAAAATCAAACCATTAAGATGAAGTCACGACAAATATACAGAAAAAACATAAAATATCACTATCAAATTTGTTAATTCACTTTGATCCTCAAAAGGTACAGTGGTTTTTTAACAAAATTCCTGTATGATAGTGATGAATATGTGAATGACGTAATAGTCCCCAGAAAGTACAGTAGTTTGAATTTAGCAATGATAACGAAACCACCGTTTGAGATTTGTGGCAGCACATACATAACCAAGATGCCAAACAAATCAATAGCATAAATTGATTACAACTTTTTTTTATTGGGAGTTTGAAGCATGGACAGGCAAACACAACATATATTTTAACAGAAAAAACAAAACATACGGATGTAAATAAGAACATACCTCAATACAAATTACCGTCGTCACTTGAGCGCCAATATTCACAACGCATGCCGTTGATAGACCATTTCCAAAGACTGCAGCAAGGCCTTCCTGAACAATGTGTAAGAAAAAGGAACATGAACCCAAGAGAGAATGTTCTATAGAAAGGAAAAGAAAACGTAATTGGATCGGCAGAATGTACATCACAACTAAATAATATATATGAAAAAGATACTAAGAGTTCACCAAAGATTTAATCCTTCATTATTTACAAGTGCCATTGGCAAAAGCTGATGAATAAGCCACAAATTTAAGAATCGTAGCCAAAAGTTGTTGTATTAACCACAGTATTACCTGGTGGACTACTGCTAAGCTGAAATTCAAGTCTCTGAGTACAATGGACAGAAGTTCCTTTATTTCTGTGAAGCAAGAAACAGCCATGTCAGCTCACATAATTTTTAAGCAAAGATCAGCCTGAACAGTAAAAAGTAAAGTTAGTAACCATATAAATAATCAACAAAAAAAAGTGAGATCAATCATATCAAATAGGTAGAGAGACCCTAAATATATATTAAGATTCGATAAAACAAAATGCCTAGTACAGAATTTAGACCAGTCGATTCTTTAATTTTCATTTACTGTTACATATTTCTTTCAATTTTAGGAGATAATAAATATGAAAGAAACAAAAAAAAAATGAAACTGAGAAACAAGCAAATCACTTGGTTTATGTGACAACTGCAAAGTAAACATCAAAAAATCAAAGAGCTGACTAATAGTCAGACAAACATTATCAAAGGCATATCAAAATTACCGCGGTTATCAAAGGTCTCAGGAACAACAAGGACAGCAGAATACATATGCCTTTCATTTTGAGGTAAATGCAGCTTTTCAGTCAAAATCCAATCCCATATAGCATGAATGTCTTCGATTACCTGGAGAGAGAGAGAGAGAGTAGGGTGGATGCTCTTTGCATTTACTGTATTCGAAATACTATGCAAACACAAACAGAAGCATTTCCTGAGCATGCAGTCGTTGACATTTATAAGAAAATGACATGAAATACTCCAAATGCCAAAATTTACAAATCTAATAAAGCCAGGTGAACTGACAGGAAAATCTAAAAACCCTGAACAAACCATGTAACCAATCCTTCCTCCAAAAATCAGTCAATTGCACAAATGAGAGGGCTTTATTGTGTAATATAAGATTTACAGGCTTTGCAGAAAAGGAAAGAAACATATATCTTACCTGCTGCATGGGATAATGCATAGAGATATTGAGATGTCCCCTGCGAATAGGCCGGCGTAAGCAATACGGTTCAGTAGGCGATATTCTCAAAGCTTCTTCACCAAAAATACACTCTCTGTATTTAGGCTCAGTTGAACTGGTCTCCCCCTCATTGACAGTACCTTCTTTGTCAACTGAAGTCTCTTCAGTTCTCAGTGAACTTCCTGTAAAAACACAGTTATGCGTGCTGAAAGCCATAAATGAAAGACTTAGTAAATCAAGAAATTGATATATTATTTCATGCCCTTATTATAAATAACAAGGCCGAAGGAGACATTGTTGTTGCTAATCGATTAATGTAGGACTTCCTCAAAGAAATAAACATATCACACCATAGACATTTACTTAGAAGCATTTATCTGGAGGTTCCCATTATTTGTTAATGTATGTAAAGAAAAAATAATATGAATAGTTTTCGACTTGCCAAGCATCAAAGACCAAGTACCTGACATAAGCAGAGTGATTCTGGGAGTTCAGTTTTCATAAATCTCTAATTAAATTGAACACTTGTAAAAAAGAATGGGCACTAAAACCGAATGATCGTGTGTGCTAATACACATGCAGGACTTTGTACAGCTATAAAGAAGTGAAGGACCTCAAAATCCTATATACCTGCTTCGGAAGATGATGCACGTTTCTCAAACACATCAGTCCATGGGATAACCGAATCTTTTTTGGTATTACTTTGAGGAGGAAACACATCTACGCGAGCCATCTGCAAAACAAAACAATACAAAAAAAGAAATGACGCCACACACTATTATCACATTCAAGGAATTTGAACACCTTCAAATGGGATTAACTTGGTTTTCCAAATCCAATAGAGTTCTCCCTTCACACAATTTGAAAAGATTACCTTCGGTGGATACTGATTGTTTACCATCTCCTCATCTAAAAACCGAATTTTCAACAATGACGCAATCTGAAGATTGAAGAAATAAATTAGTAAACGCTAAACTATGGCACAAAACCAGAAAGTACAACACACAACTCAAAGTTAATAAACTAGAAAAATAACAATGTGCATTATCGATTTTCAAGTTAAACAACTAACAATGTCATAAGCCCTTTCCCGCTCCATATGCTGCACTGTGGTAACCTGAGAATTGAGCAACTGCAACAAAGAAAAGATAAAAGGTAAGAGAAAACAGAAAAAATTATCAACAGAAACAAAACTTTACTACCAAAAATTTGTTTCGGAGAAACAATAAACAGTAACCTGGTCCTGAACATTCCTTTTCGGAACTTGAGATGTTCGTCTAGCAATGCAATGCGGCACACTAATAGGAGCATCATGCTTCGCTAGTCCTATTCTTACATTCGCTGAACCTAAATTTAAAGAAACAACCAAAAACAAAACCGATGTCGAAACGCGGGAAAAAAACAAAAAGCTGAAAGACTCAAAACCATAGCAGTGTCCACAAATAAAAGATGTTCACGAGAATGGCAAGACCTGGGTTGATAACGACGACGTTAGAGCCGCGCTCGGCGAAGAATTGAGATGGTACAATGGTTTTAAGGTAATCCTGTGTGCAACACATTAATAATGAATTATTGGAGTGATTTAGCTATAGAAATTGTGTGTAATGTGCCTGATTTTGTGCTCACCATGGCAGGCAGAGCTCCGAGCAGCTCTATCGACAGCCCTGTGACTGGTGAATTGTTGGTATGACTGTTAGGTTTTCTTCTTATATTTCATGGAAAAATATGTTTGAAAATGGCTAAAATGTTCTTGGATTCTTATTGATTGATATATATATTTAGTTATTAAAAATATTATTATTTTTAAAAAAATGTTAATAACTATTTAGTTTTGGGTGGGTTATTTTTTTAAAAAAATATAAAAATCTGTGGCAAAAAAAAAAAATAATAATAATTGTGGAAAAAAATCAAACGGACGGATTCTGAAAATACGTGTTTCTAATTAAAATTTTTAACCGAAACACGGATTTTTAGAATCCGTTTTTGTTTTACATTTAATTTTTTTTTTAAAAAATGAAAGTCGAAATTGTCGGTGGATTTTAATATTAATACTGGACAACGCGGATTACCAAAATCCGTGTTACGTTTAAAAAAAAAAAACGATTAACACGGATTGTGAGAATCCGTGTTTTGGTCAATATATACAACTGCATACTGCTCCCCCGACCACAAATCATTCATCAATCCGAAATTTTTTTTCTCACAAATCATTCATCAATCCGAAATTTTTTTCTTTTTTCTGTTCGATTTTTGAAGACAATCGGGGAAGAGGTTAGTTGTTATTTTAATGTAATGTAGTATTATGTTTTTGTTGTTTATTAATGTTTAATTGAAGTATATTTGGTTAATTGAGTATTGTTTAGGAAATCTTGAATATTGGTTTAATCGTTGTGTTAAATGATTATAATTAGCTATTGTATGATGGGTTTTTGTTGTATGTTGAATATGTATCCGAATTGTTTATAAATTTGATGTTATTGTTGGATTATGGTGATTAATTAGGTATTGGTAGTGATTAGGATTTTGTTGTATGTTGAATATTTATTCGAAATTTTTATGAATTTGATGTTATTGTTGGGTTATTGTTGGATTATTGTTAGATTATTGTTGGATTGTGGTGATTAGGGCATTTGCTATTGTTTTTTAGTTGGAATAAAAATATGATTATTTTTTTTTTTTTTTGGTGCAACAGGTTATAAATGGCGTCTATAGGTCCTTATTTTGTTAATGTGTACTGGAAAATTCCTCAAAGTGAGTTAGGGAATTTTTCGAATTATTTGGCTCGTCCGGATTGTTCATTTATTATTAATGAGGGAATATCATATGAACAATTAGTAGATATAATTTACGAAAATGGTGGATTTCGTGATAGTTGGACAATTTCGAATATTACTTTCATGGTCCAACAACCGGATGGGTCGTTTATTCCCGTAAGACTGGATAATGATAGTGCGCTTGAGTGGATTTACTACTATCCTCGTATGTCTGTTGTGTTTTTGTATATTGTGTTGGAAGCGAACACACAGGTTACACAGGTTGAGGATCCTGCCCCATCGTATGGTTACGGGGGAGTGTTTGGTGATCAGGGTACATGGACTACGCATGCCGGTAATTTTGGTGAAGGGACGAGTAATTTCGGCGAAGGGACGAGCTTTACCATGAGAGGACCGGACATTGAGGAAGAAATTGTTGGAGATGAAGATTTCAGTCCCGGTGAAGACGATTTCACTGATGAGACGTCGGAAACCGAATCGAACAGATCAATTAATGAGGAAAGCGAACAAGAATTCATTGAAGAACACCCCTTTCCAAATGAAGGCCTCCACTCATATCGCGAGATGGGTGAGTGGGACGCGTCGTGTGTAGACAGGGACGAGTATGCCTTGCCACTCTGGGATGGGCATGTCGAGACTATCCGTTTGGGTACAGTTTTTCGTACCAAGGAAGAAGCTCAAACTGGTGTTATGGCCTGGAACGTTGAGAATCTTAGGGCTGTCCGGACAAAAGATTCGAACAAGAGGTCTTTCAAAGTTGTGTGTAGATATGATGAAGTTCCACCATGTATATGGAAGGCTCGGGTGAGTCTTAACACACGGGTTCACGACATGTGGGAGGTAATGGAATGGACCGATAGCCACACTTGCATGCAGGTGTTCGAGAGAAATGACCATAAGAATGTGACCGCCACCATGATCTCAAATCTTCTGTTGGCTAAGATTCAGAAGCAGGTGACCTACAGTGTGGAAATGGTGCAGGCCGACGTAAAAAGCGCCTGGAGCGTCGATGTCAGCTATAAGAAGGCGTGGCACGGGAGAAAAAAAGCCATCGATCGTGTGTATGGCACGTGGGAATCGAATTTTGCACAACTCCCCCAGTAAGTGTCGAAATTAATTATTAATGTATTTCCTTGTTAGTTGTAACTATATTTAATTATTTATTTATTTATGGTTACCTTTTATAATTTTTAGGTTTTTTGCCGCCATTCAAATGGCGAATCCCGGTACAGTTGTTGAGTGGCAATGGCAGGGTGGGGAATTGGCGCATCATTCTCGAGACCGAGAATTCAGATTTGTCTTCTGGGCGTTCGGCCCCGCCATTCAAACATTCCTTCGTTGTCCGCCGATTATTAGCATCGACGGCACTCACCTGCGAGGTTCGTAGCAAAATATTTTTTTATTTTATTTGTTGATTTACAATAGTGTCTGATAAACAAAAATCATATGCCAAACTGAGCAGGTTCATACAAGGGGAAGTTGCTTGTTGCCATTGCACAGACAGCGAATAAGCGTCTATTGCCAGTCGCGTATGCGATTGTGGACGAAGAAAGCACAGCTAGCTGGTCTTTTTTCCTAACACATCTTCGTAATCATGTCGTTCGCGACAAACCGATATGTCTTCTTTCTGACAGGGACAACGGCATATTGAGTGCCGTTGAATTACTGGAGGCTTGGCACGAACCCCATGCATTTCATCGGATATGCCTTCGACACCTCCGGAGCAACGTGCTTTCAAGGTATCGGAATAAGTAAGTCCGAGTTTTGTGCTGGAGGTTGGGTTCATTGTGTTCTCGTCGGAAATTTGAGCAGGCTCAACAGCAACTTCAGGAATGTCACCCGGAAGCATACAATTACCTTTTCCGAATTCCTTTGGAAAAGTGGACCTTGTACAAAGATAACAGACGTCGATGGGGCACTCTGACAACCAATATGTCAGAAAGTTACAACAATGTCCTCAAAGGTGTCAGGTTCCTGCCCTGTAGAGCGTTGGTACAGGCCACAATGGACAAGACTCTAGCTTTGTTTGAACAGGAACAAAAAAAGTCCACAAGCTGCAGGAGTCTCATTCCGACCGAACTCTATGCCGCCTATCTGGTGTTGGATAGGACAGCGGCGACTCACGAGGTGCAATGTGCGGACGCCGACGGATCCCAATACAAGGTGATAACTGGTCTACGCGCCAGTGGAAGAGGGCAAAACAAGTATGTTTTTTTATTATTTATTTGTCCATTCAAATTAGTTGTTTTTTATTTTTATTTATATATATCAATCATTGTGGAAAACAGGTTTATGGTTGATTATCAGCATCAGCGTTGTACATGTCGGAAGTGGCAGACATATCGGAAACCATGCTCTCATGCATTAGCCGTGTGTCGTTACCGGGGTGATCAACCGAACTTGTTGTACAATTTTCACTTTAGGACGGAGAACTGGGTTGCTCAATTTTCTAATTGGAATTTTGCTCCAGTTGGAAATCCTGACACGTGGCCGCAGGTGGGATGGAATTTGATTCCGAATTGGGACAGGATCATCTCGAAGCCTGGACCCGGTCGTGCCCAAACGAGACGCTTTAAAATGCAAATGGATCGTCGGGCGCGCCGCAAAAGGGACCGAGATCAATGCAGTAGATGTGGTGATCCAGAACATTTCGCGGACCATTGCCCGTATTCGCATCCTCATGTGGATCGAACTCGACTCCGTGATGATTGGGGGAACTAGATTTTCTTGTATGTATTTTGACTGAACCTGTATTGTTGACATTAATAGTTTGTATTTGAATGTCTGAACAAGTGTTGTTTATTTTTGTGTATGTTTATTTGTATGATGTGTGGATTGGTTGGTTTTGCAAGAAATATCGCCAAAAATGAGT